TAGAAAATATTGATGCTGCACAACCTTAGGCTGCCTAAGGTAAAAAACATGTTAATGGGACTTACAGCTATAGGCTTACTGCATGATCTTGATCACCTTGTTTGAAATATCCATACATGTGCTGCAGTTCTGCCTCTTCAGCTACATTTGTGAGATGGATGCCTCTACATATCCTCTTGAGTAAACAGTAGAAGTCCAGCACAGTCATAGTTTACTTGTTGGGATGAATGACAGGCTGGAGTTCTGCAATTGATAGCTATAAACTGTTCAGAAGGAACAAGCATGGAAGGAGGGGGAAGAGGGAGGATGTCCTCTACATAAAAAAGAAATTGACTGTTTGTGCACAGTTGTCTTTGAAAAACAATGATGAAGAGTTGAGAGCTATAAGCTCTCAAAATTAGAGGAAATCTCATGGTTGGTATGTACTACAGGTCGCCCAATCAAGGAGAGGATATTGATGAATCTTTCTTACCTCAGCTACAGAAAGCACCATGCTCAGAGGCTTTGTTCCTGCTGAAGGATTTCAATCAACCTGATATCTGCTGGAAAAGCAGCACAGTGAGCTGTACACCACCCAGGAGAGTCCTAGAGAACGCTGAGGATAATTTTTTAGTCCAGGTGAAAGACAGTCCAGCCAGAGGGAAAGCACTACTGGGCCTGTTGCTCACCAACAGAAATGAACTAATTGGAGAGTTCAAGATTAGTGTCAGCCTGACCTGCAGCCCAGGCCCAGGACCATCATTAACCTGAGGAATATGGGCCAGGCAAATTGGAAAGTCAAGACCCTGAATTTTAGTAGAGCAAACTTTGAGTTGTTTAAGGAACTAGGAGATGGGAACCCCTGGGAAACGACCCTCCAGGATAAAGAATCTGAACAGAGCTGGCAGCTATTTAATATATTTTTCTTAGTGAATAAGTGCTCTTGATTCCCACATATAAAAAAGCAGGCTGGGAATTCAGGAGACCAATAAGGGTGAAGTGCAAGAAGGAAATGGACAGGGAGTGGAAGCAAGGACATGCATCATGGGAAGAATATAGGGATTCTGTCCATGTGTATGGAGAAAGCTAAGGCACACCTGGTGCTGAATTTGGCAAGGGATGTGAAGAACAGTAAGAAGGGCTTCTGCAGGTTTGTTGATCAGAAAAGGGAGACTAAAGAAAATGTACCACCCTGATAAATAAGACTGGAGATCTAGTGACAACTGACACGGGGAAAGCTGCGGTTCTCAACATTTTTTCTGCCTCAATTTTCACTGGTAATCTCTTTTTTCCCACAGCTCTCAAGCCCCTAAAACTCAAGGCAGGGACTGAGAGAGCAAAATTCCTCCTATCATAGGAAAGGTCAAGTTCAAGACCATCTGAGGAACCTGAACATACACCAGTCCATGGGGTGTGATGAGGTTCATCCCAGGGTCTTGAGGGAATTTCCAGACATAGTTGCAAAGCCACTCCCCATAATATTTGAAGTCACGGTAGCCAGGTGAAATCTCTAGTGACTGGACAAAAGGGAATATGACACCAATTTTTAAAAATTGCATGCTACTGCTTTATAATATAAAAAAAAAAAAAGGTAAAAAGGAGGGCATTGGGAGCTACTGACCAGTCAGTCTCACCTCAGTGCTTTGTATGATTCTCTTGGAAGCTATGCCAAAACATACGGAAGGCAGGGAGGTGAGAAATGAGAGGTATGCATTTGACGGTTGGACTGTTGGATAAGGAACTAGCAGGACAGTTACATCCAAAGAGTTATAGACAATTGCTCAATGTCCAAAGGGAAATGGATAATGAGTGGTGTCCCTCATGGGTCTGTGCCGGGACCAATACTATTTAATACCTTCATCAGTGACATAGATAATGGGATTGAGTGTATTCTCAGTAAGTCTATGGATGACACCAAGCTGAGTGGTACATCTGATCTGACAAGAGGAAAAGGATAGCAGCCAGAGGGACCTTGACAAGCTTGAGGATTGTGCCCAAATGAACCTCATAAAGTTCAACAAGGCCAAATGTAAAGTCCTGCACCTTGGTCAGTGCCATCCCCAATATCAAGAGATAATGGAAGATGAACTGGTTGAGAGCAGCTCTTCAGAGAAAGATTTGAGGATACTGGTGGATGAAAAATTGGACATAAGCCAATGTGTGCTCACAGCCCAAAAAAAGCAAATCCTGTCTTGGGCTGCATCACAAGAAGCATAGCCAGCAGGTCAAGGGAGGTGACTCTCTTCTACTCTGCTCTCATGAGACCCCACCTGCAGTAGGGCATCGAGCTCTGGGGTTCCTGGTACAAGAAAGGGGATATGAACCTATTGGAGCAGGTCCAGAGGAGGGCCAGAAAAATAATGACAGGGCTGTAACACCTCTCCCATGAAGAAAAGATGAGAATATTGGGAGTTTTCAGCCTGGAGAAGAAAAGGGTGCAATGAGACCTTACTGCGGTGTTTCTATATATGAAGGGTGTCCATAAGAAAGAAAAGACTTTACAACAGGACCTGTACTGACAGGATAAGGAACAATGTTTTAAATCAAAAGAGGGTAGATTTAGATTGGTTCTTAGGAAGAAATTTTTCGTTACAAAAGTAGTGGGACACACTGGAATGGGTTGCCCAGAGAAGTTGTTGACAACAACAGTGGAAGTTTTCAAGGCCACCTTGGATGGGGCTTTGAGCAACCTGGTCTAAGTGAAAAATGTCCGTGTTTATGAGAAGGGGGTTAGTCTAGATAATCTTTGAAGGTCTCTTCCAGCCCAAACCATTCTATGATTCTTAGAGCACCAAGTCACATAGGCTCAAAAGAGGGACCTTCATGAAAGTGTTTGCCCAATTATCAAAGTAGGAGAAAAATGAGTCCTTGTATTGACTGACATTCTGAAAAATTTCTGTCACATCCTGATATCTCAGTCCACTGTGAGTGGTACCTTCTACCCTTTGTATTTTAACGGATGTTCTGTTTGTTTGACTGTTCTATTTTTCAGGGGAAAATAGGAGACAGAAGTCATTCTGTCTTTTACTTCATATCAAAATAAAAGTTCAAGATCTTTTTTCTTTAAGATAAAATTTGAAATAAGCAATGATTTTTTTTAAATAAGGTTGCTCATTAATTTAAAGGCATTAAAAAATTAAAGGGCACTTACAAAATTATTTCCTCCTTCGTCTCCCCCACCTGATAACATCTGCAAGATCTCTTTGCATTTCTTCCTTTGCTGAGCCTAAAACAAACAGTCTATAATTGAAAAACAAAAAATGAAGAAGTACAGATATGCCATCAGAAAGTTGTAGAACCAACAAATGAGCTTTTAGGAAAGCACGTAGACTGCTCCAGGAGGGAGCTGCTATATCAGGTGTTTAGAGGAAGGATAGAAGCCTAACCTAAACCCAGGAAATTCATTTTCAAAGGATCAAAATCTTTAGAGGTAAAGCTACCGGTGGACTGAGTATGATACAAGTGAATAGGACAAAGTATGATACAAAATGTGAAGGAAATGTGTATGCTACAGAACTAACCCTCAGGAATTTCTTCTGAATAGTATGTGTCCTTCCCAATAGATTCACTTTTGTGACAATGTGGTTCAGAATCCACAATTCACAGTGGGGTCAGCTGGTGAAACCACCGTGAAATATAGCATCAGTATAGACAGCTCCAAATTCACATGATTTTTTTGTTTCGTACTCTAGCATATAATGTTATTCTGCTGCTTGTCTTCTCTAGACAAAAGCCCCTATGAAGTGCTATAGCATCTCTCAGCAGTTTGTCACACTTCAGGTACACCCTAGTCATGGTAAACCAGCACCACTGGGTCTTAAAACTGACAGGGTCTTAAAACTCTCCCACATTGTACTACATATGTCTGAACATGACACTCCACTTTCCAACTCATCTCAAGGAAAAAAAAACCTCATTTTATTTGTATTCAGTTTGTCTTACATTATAAAACTCATGGGTTGGAAAAAAAACATGCCTTTTTTTTTTCTTGGCAGTTCTGAGGACATAATTGTTGATTTACATTATTTTATTATTAAATAAATGACTTGAGCTTTACCTCTGTTTTTCAGAAAGAAAACATGCACACCATAATTGTTTTTTTATCCACAACAGCAGATTCTGACAACATGTCTGCAGTATAGTGTAAAAGTAAGCACAAAACTAAACTCTACCTTAAAATAACAACATAGTTTAATGTGTTTACATACTGCCTTTAATCAAAAGAAGCCGTTTGGATTAAAAAATGGGAAATTGCTGCATCAAAATATTTATACAAGGACACAGAAGACTGATGGAAACAGTGAAACACTTTTTATATGTTCCTATGAGATGTTGGAGGTACCGACTGATTTAAGAGAACAGTTTTTCACATTAAAGTTTCTGGGGAGAACTTTCTTTTACTTCTTATTAGCTCCGATTAGAGCTAAATAGGACACCATGTCCAAAGGTTTCATTATTTTTCAGAGATGAAGCCGTCTTACGGGAAATAACTCCTAACCCAGAAACACCACTGAGGGGCTACTTTGTGTTACTTGCTTGTTTTCAAAGCTAGTTTACGATAAGCAAATGTCTCTCAATTACCTCCATTTTGCACTACTTTGATGAAAAACCCTCTCTGGAACATGAATCCGCTGCCACTGTGACAGTGCAGTCACAATCAGAGTTTTAATTTGGAAGTGAAAATCAAAATCTCACTGTCCGGCTTTGCGTGCAATCGCAAAACTCGGAGATTATTGGCTTCCCTGAAACTCATTTGAACTCCCAGCTAACAGAAACGCCGGGAGACAAAAACACCTTCTCTCTGCAGCACGAATGCTAAGAAACGGAGCGCCGCAATCACGTTTTTTTTACAAAAAATACACTTTTTTGAGGAGGAAGAAACACAAACCGAGAAGCAGAGCGCAGGGCGGAGGGACCGGCCTCTGGCGGCAACGCACCAATCAGGGCTCGCCGCGTTGCTATAAATAGGGGAGCTGCCGCTGGCCTTACAGTGCTGGTGGTATCGGTTAGGGAGTATTACTATGTCGGAGACGGCTCCAGCCCCCGCTGCGGAAGCAGCACCCGCAGCCCCTGCAGCTGCTGCCAAAGGGGCTGCCAAAAAGGTGAAGAAGGCGGTCGGCGGCTCCAAAGCTCGGAAGCCTGCAGGCCCTAGCGTCACCGAGCTGATCACCAAGGCTGTGTCCGCCTCCAAGGAACGCAAGGGGCTTTCACTCGCCGCGCTTAAAAAGGCATTGGCTGCCGGCGGCTACGATGTGGAGAAGAATAACAGTCGCATCAAGCTGGGGCTGAAGAGCCTTGTCAACAAAGGTACCTTGGTGCAGACTAAGGGTACTGGTGCGTCCGGCTCTTTTCGGCTTAGTAAGAAACCGGGAGAGGTGAAAGAAAAAGCTCCGAAGAAGCGAGCGGCTGTGGCTAAACCCAAGAAGCCGGCAGCCAAGAAACCTGCTAGTGCCGCTAAGAAGCCCAAGAAAGCAGTGACGGCGAAGAAGAGCCCCAAGAAAATGAGGAAGCCGGCGGCCGCTTCGGCCAAGAAGGTGGCCAAGAGTCCCAAAAAGGCGACTAAGGTTGCCAAGCCCAAGAAGGCGGTGGCAGCAGCTAAGAGTCCAGCCAAGGCGAAAACAGTGAAGACCAAAGCAGCTAAGACCAAGGCGACTAAGCCTAAAGCAGCCAAGGCAAAGAGGGCGGCGCCTAAGAAGAAGTAAGTCCCCGTGGAAGATACTGGCCCCCACTTAAAACCCAACGGCTCTTTTAAGAGCCACCCACCTTCTCTCAAAAAGGGCTGAAAAGGCAAGGAATGTTTCTTTTCTAATGTTTCGTGAATAATAGAACGCTTTCATAGCTTTAAAGTCACACCCAGGGCATCAAACGTCATCAAACGTGCTGTGACAGGAACTTCCAGCGACAGCGTTTGGTGCTGCTCTAATCATTACTTCAGTGCATTACAAGGGACATAGTTTCCTCTAAGGGTAGAAATTTATTACTTTGTTTTTGAAGGGCATCTTCACCCAGTTTAACGCTTTCTTTGGTGACTCCATGTGTGTGGCAGCGTGAGGGGAAGGGTGGGGAGTTCGTTTCTACTGGAATGTCCATCTCTGCAATAATGCAAAACGGGGCCGGGAAAAGTTTAATTTACACGCTTCCATCGACTGCACGACCGAAATAAAAGAAAAAAAATATTCTTACCTAATTTCTAAAACTGAGCAAAGCGTTAGCAATTTAGCCCTTTCGTGATACAGTGGGTGGCTCTTAAAAGAGCCTTTGGGTTTCTCTGGGGAAAAAAACACTCCCGGGTGTTACTCTTGGGTAATCACTTGGCTTTAGCCTTGTGGCTGTCGGTCTTCTTGGGCAGCAGCACAGCCTGGATATTGGGCAGCACACCACCCTGCGCGATCGTCACCTTGCCCAGCAGTTTGTTGAGCTCCTCGTCGTTGCGGATGGCGAGCTGCAAGTGCCGGGGGATGATGCGAGTCTTCTTGTTGTCGCGGGCCGCGTTGCCCGCCAGCTCCAGGATCTCAGCAGTCAGGTACTCCAGCACGGCTGCCAGGTACACCGGGGCGCCGGCGCCCACCCGCTCCGCATAGTTGCCCTTGCGCAGCAGGCGATGGACGCGGCCCACGGGGAACTGCAGCCCAGCCCGCGAAGAGCGCGACTTGGCTTTAGCACGCGCCTTCCCGCCCTGCTTCCCGCGCCCTGACATCTTCACAACACGCCAGAACCAAAAACAAAAACCTGTTTCAGAAATGAAACCAGCGCCGCACCGCGCCCTTATATCCCTTCTCGGCGAGAGGAGACAATTTCCATAGGCTGAGAAGGTAACACTGCAAAAACAGCCAATGGAAACGCGGATCGAACTCTAACCAATAGCCATGAAGTACTAAGAGCTAGGCTTGCAAATACCTGCTCTCAGCCAATAGAAACGAAGCCTTGAGGAAACCCTAATTTGCATACGGTCCCTATAAAGGGCGGGCGCTCATGCTTGCTTTGTATGCTCGCTTTTGCGTGCTGTTGGAGAGCTGAGGTCGAGTCTTGGGAAAAATGCCTGAGCCGGCGAAATCAGCCCCCGCGCCCAAGAAAGGCTCTAAGAAGGCCGTGACTAAGACTCAGAAGAAAGGCGATAAGAAGCGTAAGAAGAGCCGTAAGGAGAGTTATTCTATCTACGTGTACAAGGTGCTGAAGCAAGTGCACCCCGACACGGGCATCTCCTCCAAGGCTATGGGCATCATGAACTCCTTTGTCAACGACATTTTCGAGCGCATTGCTGGTGAGGCCTCGCGCTTGGCGCACTACAACAAGCGCTCCACCATCACTTCTCGGGAGATCCAGACGGCCGTGCGCCTCTTGCTGCCGGGTGAGCTGGCCAAGCATGCAGTCTCCGAGGGTACTAAGGCCGTTACCAAGTACACCAGTTCCAAGTAGAGCGCTTCAGTCCGCTTATTTTAACCCAAAGGCTCTTTTAAGAGCCACCTACGTTCTCAGTAAAGGAGCTGACTTGATTTTGTGCTGGCCCAGGCTGCTTGCTGGTAGGAGACGAATAATGGTGTGAAAACAACGTGGCTGGAGGGAACTGGGGTATACTTAATCCGTGTTGTGTTCTATGCCTGCCTCAGTGAAAAAACTTAGCTCCCTAAAGGCACACCCTGGAACCCTCTTACACTTTTGCATGTAACTTGGGGGTTACAGGCTAAGGGGAGGATATGGTAAGAATTTTTAAAAGCCTGAAATAAAGGTGTTCTGCTCTTTCCCCGTGAGATATTGTATCGGGAAGCTTATGAGTCGGGGGCTTCCAAGGCACAAATTGCTCAGGATGAACGTGTATTTTTTTTTTTTTATAGCATAAAGCTCCAATCCAGACCCCTGTGTGGTCTCGTGGGTGACAAGAGGAAGCAGACCAAGGTGTTTTCACGGCGTTCTCGACCCGTGCAGTCCCACCTGCGATCCCGAGCACGGTTTCCCGGTTTCCGTGCTTCCCTCTGCGCTCTGCCCAAGGCTCTGGTCGACGTCTTCCTCCACTGCCTCGTTGTTCTCCGCCCCGTATATCACGCCGCCGAGCAGCCCGAGGGAGCAGGGGGCTGGCGGCGGTACCCAGAGCGGCTCAGCTACCGGGCTCGCTCCGACCTGAGTGAGAACTGCACGCATCTCCCCAGCAGGCGCTCGCCGCCCGACCCTGAGCACCTGCAGGAGGACGTGGATTGGTCGCGATAGCGCTCGCTTTTCGGCGTCCCTGTTCGCTTCACTAAGGAGCGCTCCTCCGACCGGAGCCGGGATTTACAATGGGTCGCGGCAGCAGCCGGGGAGCGTTCGCCTTGAGCGCATACCGCGGCCCTGTACCGAACGCTGTTACCGGGAGGGAAGAAACAGAGAGCTGACGCGAAGAAGAAAGACGCTGTCTTGTGATAGAGCCTCTGTCAGCAGTGCTCGTGCCGGAAAGCGGGGAGGACGGGCGGTGGGGGGAATGGCATTCGGAAGAAGCCGAGTCCAAGGCCTGGACGGCAGGACCCTCCTATACCGGTCGCTTACAGAGGTCCCTGTCGCCCCACCGCCTCTCGGACCGCAGCTCGTGCGGGCGGTGAACAGGGAGGCAGCCGGCGCTAAGGCGCTCTGGAAGGCCGGAAATGAGCAAGCCCCCGAGCCGTGGGGGGAGGGGGATCGGCGAGCCGGAGCGATGGCTTTGGAAGGGGAGGGGTTTTACCGCCACGGCGGAGCGACCTGGAGTTGACATGATTGTTGCTAGTATCGTACATCTGTAAAAATAAAACTTATGAAACCAGCTCTTTTAATCGTGCATGTAGTGGCTCTTAAAAGAGCCTTTGGGTCTGTTTGGCTGCCTCCGTGTTTCTGCTAGAGACCGGAAAGACTTTGGCAGGTGATTCATGCACGCTCACCACGGATACGTCGCGCCAGCTGGATGTCTTTGGGCATGATGGTGACGCGCTTGGCGTGAATAGCGCACAGGTTTGTGTCCTCGAAAAGCCCCACCAGATAGGCCTCGCTAGCCTCCTGCAGCGCCATCACGGCCGAGCTCTGGAAACGGAGATCGGTCTTGAAGTCCTGTGCGATCTCACGCACTAAGCGCTGGAAGGGCAGCTTGCGGATCAGCAGCTCTGTCGACTTCTGGTACCGCCGGATTTCACGCAGGGCCACCGTGCCGGGACGGTACCGGTGCGGCTTCTTCACGCCACCCGTGGCCGGCGCGCTCTTACGGGCCGCCTTAGTAGCCAGCTGCTTGCGGGGCGCTTTGCCACCAGTCGACTTACGCGCAGTCTGCTTCGTACGTGCCATCGGTCTGCAAGCAACACAAAACGCCTCTCTTCACGAAACAATGAATAGTGCCAGGGCTTCCCCTGCGCCAGCATTTATAGCTGACTCTCTCTGCCGATTGGCCGTCTGGCGCGAGGCAGGCTGCTATTGGACGCCTTGACCGCTCGAAAAGCTCTCTCCGCCATGGCGGTAAAACCCCTCCTCTTCACTCTCCCAGCCCCCCCCCCTCCCCTTCCAGAGCCATCGCTCCGGCTCGCCGATACCCCTCCCCCCACGGCTCGGGGGCTTGCTCATTTCCGGCCTTCCAGAGCGCCTTAGCGCCGGCTGCCTCCCTGTTCACCGCCCGCACGAGCTGCGGTCCGAGAGGCGGTGGGGCGACAGGGACCTCTGTAAGCGACCGGTATAGGAGGGTCCTGCCGTCCAGGCCTTGGACTCGGCTTCTTCCGAATGCCATTCCCCCCACCGCCCGTCCTCCCCGCTTTCCGGCACGAGCACTGCTGACAGAGGCTCTATCACAAGACAGCGTCTTTCTTCTTCGCGTCAGCTCTTTTTCTTCCCTCCCGGTAACAGCGTTCGGTACAGGGCCGCGGTATGCGCTCAAGGCGAACGAACGCTCTCCGGCTGCTGCCGCGACCCATTGTAAATCCCGGCTCCGGTCGGAGGAGCGCTCCTTAGTGAAGCGAACAGGGACGCCGAAAAGCGAGCGCTATCGCGACCAATCCACGTCCTCCTGCAGGTGCTCAGGGTCGGGCGGCGAGCGCCTGCTGGGGAGATGCGTGCAGTTCTCACTCAGGTCGGCGCGAGCCCGGTAGCTGAGCCGCTCTGGGTACCGCCGCCAGCCCCCTGCTCCCTCGGGCTGCTCGGCGGCGTGATATACGGGGCGGAGAACAACGAGGCAGTGGAGGAAGACGTCGACCAGAGCCTTGGGCAGAGCGCAGAGGGAAGCAGGGAAACCGTGCTCGGGATCGCAGGTGGGACTGCACGGGTCGAGAACGCCGTGAAAACACCTTGGTCTGCTCCCTCTTGTCACCCACGAGACCACACAGGGGTCTGGATTGGAGCTTTATGCTATAAAAAAAAAAAAAATACACGTTCATCCTGAGCAATTTGTGCCTTGGAAGCCCCCGACTCATAAGCTTCCCGATACAATATCTCACGGGGAAAGAGCAGAACACCTTTATTTCAGGCTTTTAAAAATTCTTACCATATCCTCCCCTTAGCCTGTAACCCCCAAGTTACATGCAAAAGTGTAAGAGGGTTCCAGGGTGTGCCTTTAGGGAGCTAAGTTTTTTCACTGAGGCAGGCATAGAACACAACACGGATTAAGTATACCCCAGTTCCCTCCAGCCACGTTGTTTTCACACCATTATTCGTCTCCTACCAGCAAGCAGCCTGGGCCAGCACAAAATCAAGTCAGCTCCTTTACTGAGAACGTAGGTGGCTCTTAAAAGAGCCTTTGGGTTAAAATAAGCGGACTGAAGCGCTCTACTTGGAACTGGTGTACTTGGTAACGGCCTTAGTACCCTCGGAGACTGCATGCTTGGCCAGCTCACCCGGCAGCAAGAGGCGCACGGCCGTCTGGATCTCCCGAGAAGTGATGGTGGAGCGCTTGTTGTAGTGCGCCAAGCGCGAGGCCTCACCAGCAATGCGCTCGAAAATGTCGTTGACAAAGGAGTTCATGATGCCCATAGCCTTGGAGGAGATGCCCGTGTCGGGGTGCACTTGCTTCAGCACCTTGTACACGTAGATAGAATAACTCTCCTTACGGCTCTTCTTGCGCTTCTTATCGCCTTTCTTCTGAGTCTTAGTCACGGCCTTCTTAGAGCCTTTCTTGGGCGCGGGGGCTGATTTCGCCGGCTCAGGCATTTTTCCCCAAGATTCGACCTCAGCTCTCCAACAGCACGCAAAAGCGAGCACACAAAGCAAGCATGAGCGCCCGCCCTTTATAGGGACCGTATGCAAATTAGGGTTTCCTCAAGGCTTCGTTTCTATTGGCTGAGAGCAGGTATTTGCAAGCCTAGCTCTTAGTACTTCATGGCTATTGGTTAGAGTTCGATCCGCGTTTCCATTGGCTGTTTTTGCAGTGTTACCCTCTCAGCCTATGGAAATTGTCTCCTCTCGCCGAGAAGGGATATAAGGGCGCGGTGCGGCGCTGGTTTCATTTCTGAAACAGGTTTTTGTTTTTGGTTCTGGCGTGTTGTGAAGATGTCAGGGCGCGGGAAGCAGGGCGGGAAGGCGCGTGCTAAAGCCAAGTCGCGCTCTTCGCGGGCTGGGCTGCAGTTCCCCGTGGGCCGCGTCCATCGCCTGCTGCGCAAGGGCAACTATGCGGAGCGGGTGGGCGCCGGCGCCCCGGTGTACCTGGCAGCCGTGCTGGAGTACCTGACTGCTGAGATCCTGGAGCTGGCGGGCAACGCGGCCCGCGACAACAAGAAGACTCGCATCATCCCCCGGCACTTGCAGCTCGCCATCCGCAACGACGAGGAGCTCAACAAACTGCTGGGCAAGGTGACGATCGCGCAGGGTGGTGTGCTGCCCAATATCCAGGCTGTGCTGCTGCCCAAGAAGACCGACAGCCACAAGGCTAAAGCCAAGTGATTACCCAAGAGTAACACCCGGGAGTGTTTTTTTCCCCAGAGAAACCCAAAGGCTCTTTTAAGAGCCACCAACTTTCTCAGGAAAAGGGCGTGAATTTCTTTAAATAAAACTAAGCTAGCTACCACCTTTTCCAAAGCCTTGTCTGAAGCTGACAGTGAAGCAGTCGCTTCCGTGGCGGGGACGAACCCTTCGAGACACTAGCGCTTTGCAGGCACTAGGTCTACCCCACCTCCCTACCGCAATTCTAGATCGGAAGCTGGGGTGGGGCTCCGGGATGCCAGTCAGCTCCCGTTTCAGCCAATCCCCACGCCGTGTGGGCTTTTCGAAGCCACCAGCGCGCATATTCCCTTCCCAGATAAACGGAAGGAACTTTTAAAAGAGACCCGTTACCAGGTTTCTGCTTCTTTCACTTCTGGAAACACCAACACTGCCCTCTTCTATAACCCTCCTCCAACACGGGAAAAAGCTACCGCATTTCAGCCCTTTTTGAGAAAGGTTGGGTGGCTCTTAAAAGAGCCGTTGGGTTTAAGTGGGTGGGGGGGCAAGACTTTTTCCACAGGGGCTTACTTCTTGAGCGCCGCCCTTTTCGCTGTGGCTGCTTAGTCGCCTTGGGCTTGGCTGCTTTGGCCTTCACCCTTTTCACCTTGTCTGGATTCTTAGATGCCGCCGCCGCCTTCTTGGGCTCGGCAACCTTAGTCACCTTTTTGGAGCTCTTGGCCGCCTTCTTGACCGCAGCAGCCGCCGGCTTCCTCATTTTCTTGGGGCTTTTTTTCGTTGTCACCACTTTCTTGGGTTTCTTAGCGGTGGTGACAGGTTTCTTGGCTGCTGGCCTCTTCAGCTTGGCCACAGCTGCCCACTTTTTCGGAGCTTTTTCTTTCACTTCTCCCGGCTTCTTAGTAAGACGGAAAGAACCAGACGCACCAATGCCTTTGGTTTGCACCAATTTACTTTTGTTCACAAGGCTCTTCAGCCCCAGCTTGATGCGGCTGTTGTTCTTCTCCACATCGTAGCCACCAGCAACCAGCGCCTTCTTGAGCGCGGCGAGAGAGAGTCCCTTGCGTTCCTTGGAGGCGGACACAGCCTTGGTGATCAGCTCAATGACGCTGGGACCAGCGACCTTCCGGGCTCTAGAGCCGCCCGCCGCCTTCTTCGGTTTCTTGGCCGCAGCTTTGGTGGCGGGGACCGGGGCAGCAGCAATAACGGCAACAGGCACAACCTCCAACGTTACAACTACAAAAAGATCAGCGGCGGCGCTACCGGCGGCCTCCCTATTTATAGCAGTGCGGGGCGTACTGATTGTTGCCTCTTGGGCGCCCCGCCGCCTCCCTGCGCTCCGCGATCCGGGTTATGTTTCTTTGAGCAAGATAAAATGTTTTTAATCTACTTTATCTGCCATGAACTTGCCTCCTTTGCGCACGCGGGAGCAGTTGACGAGTCTGTTTTCGACTGTCAGTGTTTAGTCGCGAAAAGAATTGAGTTTGGGTAGAGAGGAGGCGGTAAATCCCGGGTCCTGGAACCGAAATGACATCCAGAGAGGGAAAGTTCTGTTTTTCTTTCTAAGTTAAAAAAAACCCTTTAAAGTTAACGTGAGGCAGAACACTCACTCTTAATCTTTAGAGGGTCTTTTCTGAGTCAGAGAAGAAAGCGAGCAGTTAGAATTCCATTCTTTAAAATAAAATGCTTTCAAAGAGAGTGAGGTAGCACAAACTGCCTCGAGCCGTGCCTCCGCTTCTCTCACCGTAGTTAATACCTCTGGCTACTCCTCCCCCGGTACTTCAAACCTGAAGTTTCCAGAGGCTATGGGTGAAATAACAGCACATACTTTATTTACCTCAGAATGGGCTACTTTCTCTACAACACTTTGCTGTCCTTCACACAGCAAAAGGCTCTTTGATGCTAATGGGATAAATCGGGACATGAAGAATAAAGATGAAAGGTTTGTGCCGAATCACTGACCTTCATGTAAGTCTCTAACATCCAGAAACAGATCACACTCTAAATAAGGCACATAGTGCTATTTGTGTAAAATCTGTCAGTATGATTCAGTAAGATGAAGAAAAAACTGGCAGAGATTGAGTCTTCAAGAGATGTGAAAGTACCATTTTTCTATTTTGATGCCAAGCCAGGAAGAAAAATCACAATTTTTGCTCACTGCTCTTTTGCCAGGTTACAGGTCAACAGCAGTCTCTCTACATGAAATCTTTCGCTGCAGCACGAAGTGATGCAAAGCTGTTTATCTGCAATGTGGTGGCTATATCAGCGTTCACACCTCCTTGTCAGCTAAAACTCTGTATATATTTTTTTGTCTCTGGCAGGAGTTCCTAATTCATTTACCTTGAAGTTTAATGGCCATAAGCCAGTTTAGCACCATCATATTGCTACTGCATTTTTACTTGATATCTACAAACTGCGCTGGCAGAGTTTACGTATAATGTTGACCAGATGATCAGCTTTGCTATTTAAATGAAGGGAAAGATCTGTGACTGGAAAATATCATCTCATTCCTCTCTCTCATTGCACTACAGGGAAGCAAATGACCCTCTTGAAGATTTTGAGTGACCCTTCATCTTCAATTAATTCACAAAGTCCCACTCTTTAAAACTTCATATGGGCAGTTTGATGCTTTCTTGCATATTTATGGTAAAAGGACTTCAGAAAAATAAACATATTTTTCTCTCACTTGCGATTTCTCTCTTGCTAAGTCTCCTAGCTGAGGAGTTATTCTTGAGACAGTGAGGACAAATAAGCTATCAAATTCAGCAGATTTGGATCTGGGCTTTTAAAGCTTCACTGGAAGCAGGATGGCTTATAGAGCAGTGCTAACTGAAAATTTTAGAAAGGCAAGAGGACTCGACTGTAACACATTTACTTCAAGTAGTAATAGGGGGCATAAAGAACTGAGTATTGAAATTACTGTCTCCTAAAATTTCCTCAAATTACATGAATGACTGTATGTCTGCTCTGTCTCATCCAGATCAGGTAAAAGCTCTGATGTCCTTCAAAAACTAAACTTGTGGCCCTGTCTGTAAACTGAATCTTTTTATACTCGCCAACTCTTTTCCATATTACTAATGCCAATACTGAAGCCTTTCTAACTCACAGTAAAACAATTTCCCCCAGTCTCTGCACCTCTTATTTTGCAAGAGTAATCATTCAGTGCAATAGCACATTTTCCTCCAATTTGTAACTGGATATTCTCAAGACTGTTTCCCTTACACACACACATAGTCAGATGGAATAAGATCTATGATTAAACCCTGTATAGCAGTGACAACTATAACACAGTCTCGAGCGAAAAAGCCTCTCAGTATGTGCTAGAGCAACACTGCGGCACATTGTAGTAGTCCTTGTCTTAGTCCACTTTTGAGGCTACCAATCTCCATCAAATGTTAAATGGCCATTTTGCAATTCAAAGATGGGTTTTGTAATTATTTTAAGTTCTACTTAATGATTTTCCACTTCCATGTTCACTTCATTATTCCCTTCCTTTGTTGTTAAGAAGACAACATACTCTCATTACCATCTCATAAACAATCACGCCATGTATGTTAGGGGGAGGATGCAGAATACCAGAGAAAAATCAATGAACACAAGGAAAGCTGAATACAGTGCTACCTCATTCAGTAGCAAATACACAAGGACCATGGTTCACCCTCCTCCCCCAAATACTGCTAGTTCTTGTGTGATTAGCAGCACAAAAAGCCTGAAGTTATGTACCAGAGGTCCTTGCTCTAGTTATGATCAAGCTCACTTAGGATACATGGAAGTAGTCCACATTTCCCTGCAATGCAAACACAGAAAAGTAGTGGACAGGGAGGACACTTGCTGGGAGAGATTCTCCCTCCCTCATACATTTGCCATCAAAATTAGAGCAAGCTTTGCTGCCTCACCTTAGAAGAGGTGACCATCAAGAACAACAGGACCTCAGTAGTGTTCCGTGTTGTTCATCTCTACATGCTCTGTCAGTATGGACAGAAATATCTGGTAGAGTAGTAAAGAACATTTTTTGCCAGTGTTACCAATATGAGCTAGCTCAGGCTGCAGGGCTAGATCAAAAGCCTCTTTAGAGCACTTCCAACCAGCATGAAAAGTATAGATTATTATAACCAGTAACATGTGCCTACTAACTTGAAAAATATATAGTAATTTAAACCAAACTTAATACGTGCAAGACAAAAAGCAATTTTTGCAAGATCAGGGTAATTTTCAATTTATTGCATGCCCTTTTGCGGTACTTAACCTGGTACTAGGTGACAAAGTATAGAGGCCACTGTAGATGACATTACAAGTCCCAGGAAGAGCACCTTACAGGGGTTCAGTATTCAGCTTTTCTAAACATACTGAGGATAATTCTTCCTGAACTGTTTGCTCCATTTCCTCCCCTTGCTTAGGACTTTTCCACATGAGTATCTAACTGCACTGCATTTATTCATGTCATATTGTCATGCCTTTCTCAAATACGCAAAGCCCATCCCCATTTTGGAAGTGGGAGAACTGAGAGTTGCTTATTCACATTTCTTAAAGATATAGTTACTTAGATCCTCCAGGTTTTGGCTGGTTTGGGTTTCCACCCTCCGTCTGAGGCCTAGCTATACATGTTAACTTTCACCATTTCCTGTCAGCAGAAAACCAGTTCAGAGATGATGCATCTAATTTCATGGGGGCGGGGGGAACAAAACCAAACCACAAAACATAAAACCTGTTCAAAATGCAATGAATTTTTCTCCTCATTTAAATTTTTAATTTGTCACAAACCTCAGCTCACTCGTGTACACACACAGGCCAGACCAGATTATCAGCCTGCAGACGAGGACAGGATCAGGCCTGGGGAGGGCCTTTGGGGTCAGACACAGCCCTGGACATAAGGCACCTTCCTAGTGCAGAGGGGCAGGGCTGTGGGCAACTGGAGACCAGCCCTGTTGCTGGTAGGGACTAAAAACCCCATGGGGGCTGAAATGGGATCCTGGGACCTGGGTAGGGTGGGAGGAGTGACCAGGACATATTAGGAAAGGACAGACCCAGGAGATGCTGAGAAGGTTCTGCCCTGACATGACCCCTCCTTGGTGTGACAGGGATTATAGTATGCTCTCAAAGCTCCTGCTTCAGCATCTGTCTAGATCTAGACAATAAAGAGTGACTTTGGCCAAGTTACATGCAAATGTTTGATTACAGACCTGTGCATTTCACTTATTAAAAAACTCTACTGCCACTTCTACAAATAATCATTGATATTTGATGTAGCCACCAGCTTTAGGTTCGAGACAGCTGAGAACAACAGTTCCTGCACCTCAGTTTTGTGATTTCCAACTCTTTTGTCATCAAACGTATCAAAATGTGGGAATGGCTTGGCTTGGAATAGGACCCACAGTGGTCAGTTGGATCTGAACCACCCTTCTACCTTCACTTAATTGAACCTCACAGGGAAACATCTAAAGAGATTTTGGACTAGCAGCAGTCAGCTTCAGTTGCAAGACTGTCCGTTTAAATAACAGCATTTCCACCTGCTCCAGCACAGTCACAAAGCCTCAAAGGGGGCAGAAGAAAAAGCCCTTTGTTCTACCTTTTAGCTGGTATCTGGAGAAAATGCTGACCCACGGTTTTGATCCGGGTGACCATGTATATTTCTCTCTACTAAGTACTCGTGGGAATTCCCATCTTTTCCCTTCACACTCTGAACCATGATACTCGCATCACAGTTGGTGCCTCAGCCAGTTTTGTTTCCTCTAAAGAAGCTGGTCTCAAAGTTCTGGTGGCGTACATCCCTTGAGGTTCACCTGCTCCCCATCGGTGTCCACCCTGGGCAAGGAGAGGATAATTGCCTTTACTTGCTATCAGCAGCTAAGCATATTAGCTGTGCTGTGATTAATCTAGACACATATGAGCTGCCTTTTGGATGTAGTTAACCTCCTGAGTGCTGTGACCTGTGGTCTGGGAAAAGACCTGCTTGCAGAAGAGGACTCACTAGATTTAGTCAGCTCTGCAGCTTCCATGGAAAGATCCTGCATTAGTAGCTTTGCTCCTCCTTTACTTTACAAAATTGATTCTTCTCACTTCCCTTCTTCCACCATCAGTGACCTCACAGTGGCTCAGCATCGGGGGACAAACATCCTTGAGGGAGAACAGATGGGTCCTTCTCCGTGTGTTGCAGGAGGGCAGGGTCTGAAAGATGACATCCCCTGCACTTTTCCTGGAGGACGCTGGGTTGCAGAGTGTGCAAAGGAAAGGAGCAGTTTGGCACAGATGTCCAGCAGCTGAGGGCTGCCCTGAGGTAAGTGCAAAAATAGCTGCTGGCAGCAGTGACCTGTAAAAACAGGGGAGCTGCATGGAGCTGGGCAAGCAGACATCTTCAGAGAAGACCTGGAGGAAGAGTAATTCTTCTGATGGGTTGCTTTCTCACCTCCTTTGTAAACATATGTAGGGTGTGTTATGTAAAGTGCTTCTTTTGGGGACCCTTAATACATATCTCTTGTTCCTTTTTCATTAAACTCCTCTGGCAGTTTTGAGCTGATGAACAGCTTCTAAGAGGTTTTTAAAACTTACCTGCATGAAGCAATCTCTTTCCTTATTGCTGGCATGTGTTACAGCTATCCCATCCCTTCCATATTCAGAAAAAAACCCTAAATTTCATCCCATAGGCCTTTTGAGGGAAAAATTTCTGTTGACCTAATGATGCCTTTTCCAAGAAATATAGATACAAGGATGTTGTGGTCTTGAAAGCTGAATTAATATTCCTCACATCAAGTTCTCTAGAATCAGAAGTATGAAATACACTTAAAAATGGGAAAGCCTCATCCTCCCGTCTTAAAGAGCCCAGAACAAGGGATTTTAAAGTCATGGCCAGATTAGTATTGCAAAAGCTGTGCTAGGTCATAGGGTAGCCCCAGGGAGCAAACACTGATCTGAAACTGAGGCCACCTACATTCACCATTTGGTTCTGCAGAGGAGGCAGTGAGCAAACCACCAGATTCCACCTCTTGTCTGCCTCCACATCAGCACCTCCCAAGTTTGTTGAGATTGCTGCAGAAAAGCAAGAAGGTGTGGATTTTCTGTAGCTTCATATTGGTAATCAGATGTCCTGTATCCAAACTGGTGTGATTTTTTAGTATACATCAGGAAATGAGTCAGTCACTGTATGCTTCCTGAAATATCAAAGGTTGTGAGAAGTAGGCAGCCTGATCACCAGTGCCTACTTACAGTCTACTAAGCTAAGGAGGAAAAGACTTATGAGGAAGAGATTTTGGGGAAAGAGACTGCTTTCTGCCAGGATCCTTTGTGACAACCCACCATGGAAAGTCCTGCCCTTAGTGTTTCAGGTACAATACTTGACCCGTACTAAAGCTGAATGAAGGACGCTCATGTTCAGACACCTCTCTA